ATTTATAAAGTTTATCATGCAAGCTGAATTTTATGTACTTGTTTCCAGCAGCAACTTTAAACTTGAATAAGTCGAGATATATATATATATGATAAAATTATGAAATTTTTATGACATATCAAATTATGAGTTAAGAATATGACTGTTAAATATCATAATTTAAAGATGAGAAATGAAGGAGTTAAGATAATAAGATAGCATATATGTAAAGATGAGTATATATGCAAGAATATTTATTATATGATCAAATTGTTAAAGTGAGATTTTTATGAATAATTCTCATATGAGTGATGAGCAATTTGACAAAGTTTTTGTTTAATATGTTGAGTTTACAATTTTTATAAAGATTGTTTTAAATCTCACATATTAAGATCATAATTTAGTATTATGATTAAAAGTTGTATTGTATGAGTATTAAGTTGAAATATTTAGTACCATACAAGTTAAGATGAGTTCATTATTTATAAATCATGAATATGATGTTGGTAAAAGTTAAGCATGGTTTGAGTTTAAATATTCAATCAAGTATAATGTGAAATTTCGTTATTTTCACACTCGAGTTATTTAAGTGACATGCGAGTATAAGCCAATATCTATGATTTTGAAGACATGATTTATAATAAACCTTGAGTAAAAGTTCAAGAAAAGTTAAGTTAAGTATTAACTTGAGCAATAGCATGTCATTAAATTTCGATAAGATTTGGATAAGTTAAGAAACCTAGTATCTTATTGAGTATACGAGCATAGTATATAGTATATTTGTTTATATTTTATGTAATTTGCAGATACAATTACCCAGTACAGCACTTATTGTTTTTCAAATGCTTTCAAAGACAAAAGGTGGGGACCCGGAGTGGGTATCACATTGAGTACGATATTGATAAAAGTTTAAGTTTATATACTTGGGATGAGGAGGCCATCAGTTGTCTCAGAGTATATCCTAAGTTCTGATTTATACGCTTGGGATGAGGAGGAATTCAGTTGTCTCAGAGTATATCCTAAGTTTTGATGGAGGCCGGTTGAGTCGCCTTGAGAAATATCCATCAGAGTGTGCACACGTATCTGATCAGATATCGGAAGAGAAGAAGAAAAAATTAAGTTTCAGTACCAGAACAGAATCCTGGTTACCGATCAGATATGGGTTTATGATTATCTTTATTCAGTACTCATCCCCATAAGTTTATTTTCAGGTAACAGGTCGAAGAGGAGGTGTGAGTGGAGCAGTGATGGTGTTGATCGTGGATTCAGATTATGACAAGTTTTTATATGGACATTTAAAACAGTCTGTATAATTAATCACGTTTTCAAGTATTTCCGCTATGCATATTAAGATTTGACTTTGCATTTTAATAAATTTTAGATTACAAGTTTTTACCATTCAGAATTATGAATATGGTACAGTTAAATGCAAGTTGAATAAATCTGTTTTGTTTATGTCTAAAGAAGTATTAGACAAAGTTTAAAGATAAACGGATTTTCAAGAAGATGATGTTGAGTAGCATCCCGAGTTATTCACAAAAGATTTCGAAAGATTTATAAGTATTTTCGAAGTAAAAGTTGCGAAAAAGTTACTCTGATAAGCGGGGTGTTACAGTAGTTGTCAAGGCTACTTGGTGAATATTGTTGGCGAGGAGAAGAAGAAGTCATCTCTAGAGAGTGTGTCCATCGTATGCGAGTATATAAATGTGTTTCTGGAGCAGTTTCCAGAGGGACCGCCGAACAGACAAGTTGAGTTCACCATCGACTTAGTCCCCAGAGCCGGTCCAGTCTCGGAGGCACCATATAGGATGGCACCAAAGGAGCTGCAAGAGCTCAATACGTATCTAGGAACTACTCAACCTTGGTTTCATTCGACCGAGTGTTTCACCTTGGGGAGCACCCGTGCTAATTGTGAAGAAGAAGGATGGGTTGATGCGGATGTGCATTGATTACCGGGGGTGAAGAATCTGACCGTGAAGAATAAGTACCCACTGCCATGAATCGAGGACCTATTCGACCAGTTGAGGGGAGCCAGTGTGTTTTATAAGATCGATATGAGATCTGGCTACCATCAGCTGAAGATTAGAGAGTCCGACATTTCGAAGATGGCATTCCAGACTAGGTACGTCACTACGAGTTCGTGGTGATGCCGTTCGGGTTGAGCAATGCACCAGCGGTATTCATGGACCTTATGAACAGGTTTTTCATCCCTACTTAGACCAATTTATCATTGTATTAATTGATGGCGTTTTGGTGTATTCGAGAGACGTCGAGCAGCACAAAGAGAATCTAAAGATTGTGCTGGAGACATTTCGCAATGAGAGGCTGTATGCGAAGTTCTCAAAGTGTGAGTTCTGGCTTGATCGTGTGGCTTTCCTTGGCCACATTGTTATGGCTAGAGGGATTGAAGTGGATCCGGGCAAGATCGAGGTGGTGAGCAAGTGGGAGACGCCGAAGAACGCTAGCGATATTCGTAGTTTCCTAGGCCTAGCAGGATACTATTAGAGATTCATCGAGGGCTTTTCGACGATAGCTCAACCGATGACACAATTGGCGAACAAAAGCCTTCCTTTGGATTGATAACACCTCAGGTAAAGAGTTTGTAGCACTAGCCTCAATATCCTATCGCCCTACTCCCTGACTCTCACCTTCCTCACTCAAAGTGTCACTCTTCTGAGCACCCTGCCTGCTTCAATTGATTAAATGCTCCACTGTTTCAAATTCTAACCAACCAAATCTAGCCCTCTACACCAGTATTAATCCACAACAATCTTCTTTTCTAAAAAGCCAGTTATTCCGGGTCCTCCATACCTACCATAATAGATAAGTGGAGAGGTAAATTTTGTTTTTACAATTGCTTTCTTTACCAATTTTGAAGAGATCCCCCCACTATTCCTGGAAACCAAGCTAACTATGTTGGAGTTTTCCCCAAGAGATGCCAACTATCTTCCAAACTCTTATAGCTCTGTTACACCTGAAAAAAAGTTTTCCAAGTCTCTTACTTCTTTTCCACACCAACAACAAATATCATCCCTTTCATCCCTTTCTGCTTCAATTTTGTTTAAGTAGCAATGAAATTGTGCCATCACCTCCTTGAATGTCTTTAGCTTAGGTTTGATTGGTAAGGGCCAAGTTTTTTTCCACGTAAGCTGTTTATTCCTCCTGTCTTCACTAGATTCAACTTTCCCTTCTTTCTCCTTTCTCTTGTTCAAGATCATGGTATAAGCTCATTTCACAGTGAAATTGCATTTCTTATCAATATTGCACGTCAACCTGTCTTTGGCTCCCCAATGACTTATGTGAATTTTCAAAATATTTTTAGCATCTCCAGGAGTAAGGGTATGCAAAATCAGATCAGTATCCCAAGATTTCCCACCTGAAACAAAAACATCAGATACCCTCCACAGAGACAACTTATCCTCCTCAAAAGAACATATAGTTTAAAATTTGGGGGAGTTAGAAATCCAAGGTAAATTCCACATATTCACAGCCACCCCATTTCCTATTTGATATATATGACCCAGCTTCAAAGACCTTCTAGTCCCCAGTTAGCACTTCCACATCCATTTATCAGAGATCTCTTGGAAACCTCCATTATTTTGACTTGAAGAATATATACCCTTTATAACCTTACTCATCAAAAGATTAGGATTTGTAAGCACTCTCCACATCTACTTAAGAATTAGAGCTTCATTAAACACTACAAAATCCCTAAGACCCAAGGCCCCGTCCAATTTGTGTTTAGCTAACCTATCCCAGCTAGCCGACGAGAAGGGGTAGCTCAATTAGTTGTACTCTTCACTTGGGACCAGTCGGTCTCGAGTTCGATTCATATAGGGGTAAATGGGAAACCACTATTGATCCTCATTTATAAAAATATAAAAAAACATATCCCAGCTAGCCCAATAAATTCTATCTTTACGCTCCTCGTTTTTCTCCCACCAGAATCTGCCTATAATTTTGCAAATATCTCTTGACACACCCTAGAGGGAATTCTAAACTCAGACATTACATAAACAAGCAACGCATTTAGTAGAGTTTTGATTAGTAACTCTTTACCTTCCTCACTCAAAAACATGTTCTTCCAACTAGTAACGTTAGCAATCACACACTCCTTAGCAAAATGAAAATTATATTTTTTCTTTTATTTTCCAATTCCCAAAGGGAGGCCCATATATCTAGAAGATTTAACAATACCAATACCATGAAAAACATGAAAAATATCAGATTTGATAGACAAAAGAGTATTCTAAGGATAAAATATTGGACTTGGCCATATTTACAGCTTGCCCAGAGGTAGAGCAATAAGACTTCAAAATTTTTAATAATTGAGAAGCATGAGACATGTCAGCTTGACAAAAAACAAAAGAGTCATCAACAAAGAAGAGATGGGACATAAAAGAAGAATTATTGCTAATTTTCAGTCCTTGAAAGCCATTATAAGAACATGATTGCTTAATTAAATTATAAAAAAGCCTCTAGCAGGATAATGAACAAGTAAGGGGACAAGGAGTTCTCCTATCTTAAGTCTCTAGAAGGCTGAACATTTTCTAAGACTTGCCCACTAAAGTTTAAAGAAAAAAAGTAAAAACAAGGTCCATGCCCAAGCTAGGAACTTATCACAAAGACGCATAGATTTACAGACTCTAATAAAAAATTACCACTCTAGTCTATCATAGGTTTTTGGCATATCAAGCTTTAAGGCCATAAAGCATTTTTTTGCATTTTTTCTTACTATTTAGATAGTGAATACACACATTAGCAATTATAACATTGTCCAAAATTTGTTTGTCAAGAACAAAAGCAGACTGGAAAGGGGATATGCAAACATGAAGAACACCCTTTAATCTCTTGGCTAAGTTAACCTTAGCAACAACCCCCCAGAATTTGGACAGAACTTCCAAAGCTAGCAAACCTAGAATTCTACCTTCTAATTCTCCCACTCTTATCCTCATTACCTAAAATGTCATTTAAGTTCTTCCCAATGAACCAAAGCTTTCCCCATCTAACCTTGTTCCTACCTAGAACTCCCATTGAGCTTGTCTTTCTAAAAAGTCAGTATTGGAATACGCAAAGATAGCCCACTTGGCTTCAACCTTCCTTTCTAAAGAAAAACAAAACTTTAAACTAAAGTAAGAATTGACCACCTCCAAAACGGTTACCTTTTTAGACCAACACTGCAAAATGCCCCCTTTGGTACCTGAAGGATAAACATAACACCATCTATCTTCTACATTAAGCTATTTACAAAAAGGTTGAACAAAAGCCTTTTTTTTTCTTAGTTTTATAGAAAAAAAGAAAATCAGTTAAAAAGGTCATAATATTGACCTTCGACTGGGGAATTGTAGAGGGTCCTTTCAAACCTCTACAATTCCACACAGAAGCATTCATTTCAAACGTTGGGACCATTTATGGTTGGACTTCTCCACCTTATTTTCAAACATTTGCAAGCTTGTTTTTTGTTTTTTATTATCATATGCAATTGGGTTTTCAGGAGTACTACTCTTCTCATTAATCTATCTTTTTCACTAGCATCCTTAGCCCCTTAGAAGACACATGAAAAGTTTCACACAAATTATCTTTAATTTCTATCCCATTTTTGTCTAGTGATTCTAAGAAAAGATATTTGTCTATTTACTTAAAAAGTGTCTGAAATTTTAGCTTCTCCTACTGGTATCTTGACAAGTTTGGACCTTCTATAACATTTTTTGTCAGACATTCCAGCTCCATATGAGCAAACACTAAAGCAACATCTAGTTTCTCCCCACTGACAACCTGTTGTTCTTCCCTCTGATCACTACCCTGAAGATCCTTATTAGTGGTTCTATCAGTACCAATAGATTTTTCCGTTAATCCTTCCAAAATTGGAAAGAGAACGGGATTTTTCTCTATAGAAGGGGGCTCTCGGTCTTTCAAATTGAAGAGGGAGTCTTGCACGAAAGAAGGAGCCTTGGTCGGAGTCTTCTCCTGATGACCCGATGGATGGCCTTTTTTACGTCCCTTTTCGTCTGGGTTATTGATGTGAGGTATGATCATTTTTGAACTCAAAACTACCTATAGGTAGTAGGGGCCAGGTTATTGATGTGAAGTATGATAAGTTTGAATTTTCCATATATAGAAAGTGATAGACTAGAAACGAGATCTGTTACCCCAAATGGGTATTGAATGAAGACTCACTAACTTTATCAGCTGAGATACCTCCATGATCCTCTACATCTAACTTCTCACACCTAGTGTTACTAGACTCTGCCTCAAGGATATTACTAATAGGGCTAGATGATCTCTTACATTGGACTCCCCAAAACCCCCAAATGAACCCCTAATCCGATCCCCAAACTTCCCTTTAAGTTAATTTTCACAACATCTTAATCTCACACTATCTATCACTGTGGCTTATAATCCCACAATAGAAACAAAACTTAAGCAGGTTTTCATACCTAAATTCAATCCATTTTTCTTCATTCCCCAACTTAATTTCAGTACATTTCAGGATTGGCTCATTCACCCTACTCTCCACTAGAACCCTCACCATTTTTCCCTTCGCACTTCCGACAGTAGAAGCCACTACATCCTGCTGGAACACTCCGACGAGGCGGTCCTTTCCAAGGATCGATATCGGATGCCAAACATGTACATACATGATCTCGATTAAACCCTAAGCATGCTCCTAAAGGACGGACAGAAAGTTTACCTTTCTACGAGGCTTTGATTCGATCTGAGCGATCTTCTAGTCTGTGTCCCGACCATGTTTGGACGCCGGATGGACGACGATCTACCAAACGGTTGAAAAGAGCGGATTGTATCTCGTCTTATCTGAACCCTTCACGTCACTTCTCCACTATGGTGGCTGCTCACGTTTTGTGATGTGTGTTAGGGTTGAAGACGTGCAATCCCTCCTTTTATAGAGGTCCTTGGGCCAGCCTAGGGATCTCTTAGAAGGTATAGGGTTTGGGCTCCCTACAGGCCCAAATTCTTATGTTCAGCCCAGAACACAATTTAGCCTGTAAATATTAATTCATTCCACTAGAGAATTAATATTGTACTCCCGTCCTATCCCGAAATGAATCAGGGCTTCTATTAGACTCGATATAATTCCCCGTGTTTAAGATATCGCACGTCCATTAATTATTAAAGCTTCTGACTGCTTTAATTAATTAATATCTTTTAATCCTTAAGTAGTACCACTCAACCTTATTATCGTACGGATTAAATCCACCTGCAGGGTTTATACGATAATCCTTATGAGTTCCTTAAGGGGACGTCACCAACCTGGATGTCCAGGACACGGTGCCCTAATGCCAATAAATAGATATCATGCAGATAGTGTTGTTACCCAAGATACGGAGCTATTGAACCAATACTTGGTCCTCACCCATGGTAAGTCAAAGTAACAAACAAATATCCCATATATCTAATTACCACAGTTAGGGTTAAGAATTAGTAGAGTCACCGAGACCTAGGTTCTTCATGATAGTCAGAACAGAAGAACACGTCTCAACTGTGATCCTTTCAATGCGACGCAGCGCACTAGTATAAACCAATAGCCAAGACAAGCTACATCCAGTTTATACTACAACCTACACCGATAGTCATGTCCATAACTATCTCAGTTGTGAATACCATTTATATCTTATAAGGAACCGACAATGCAATCTTCTGTGTGACTACTAACACACCACATTGTCTACAATATAAGATAATTGGACATTTAGCATACAAGCAATCATAAAGAATGCAACAATGTGAAAAACATTCATTTCAGTCAAATGGGAAATCGAATAATACAATCCAAAAGCTCACGTAAAAGTTTGCTTTACAGTATACTCCAACAATCTCCCACTTATACTAAAGCTAAACTTTTAGTATATAAACACATGCCATAACAATTCTCCCACTTATACTCAAAGTCTAGCTGCAACACATCGTAAACCAAGACCCTCTACGTGTTTCTCGAAGACATTGACAGTCAGAGTCTTCGTGAAAGGATCAGCCAGGTTTTCCAACGATGCTATCTTCGTCACAACCACATCTCCTCGTTTTACGATCTCTCGTATAAGGTGGTACTTTCTTTCAATGTGTTTACTGGCCTTATGTGCTCGGGGTTCTCTCGAGTTTGCGACTGCACCAGCATTGTCACAATAAATTGTGATACACCTAGGCACACTCGAGGATACCCCTAAGTCCAGTAAGAAGCTCCTGAGCCAAACAGCCTCCTTTGTTGCTTCTGAAGCAGCAACGTATTCGGCTTCCATGGTAGAATCTGCGATGCATTTCTGCTTCACACTCCTCCATGAGATCGCTCCGCCTCCCATCATAAACACATAACCCGAGGTCGACTTTCTCTTATCTCGATCAGCTTGGAAATCAGAATCTGTGTAACCCAAAGGAGTTAGACTGTCTGATTGGTAAACAAGCATATAATCCCGAGTTCTTTTCAGATACTTGAGAATATGCTTTACCGCAGTCCAGTGTCCTTGACCAGGGTTAGACTGATATCTTGCTACCATGCCAACTGCATAGCAAATATCAGGCCTCGTGCACAGCATGGCATACATAAGGCTTCCTACAGCCGAAGCATAAGGAACCTTAGCCATTTCCTCCATCTCCTTTTGTGTCTTTGGACACATATCCTTAGATAGAGGAACTCCATGCCGAAAAGGTAGCAACCCTTTCTTGGAGTTCTGCATGCTGAAACGAGCAATCACAGTATCAATGTAAGCAGCTTGAGATAGACACAACATTCTCTTCTTCCTGTCACGAATGACCTTGATTCCAAGAATGTACGATGCCTCACCCAAGTCCTTCATTTGAAACTGTTCTGAAAGCCATACCTTTACGTCTGACAAAACCTTGACATCGTTGCCAATGAGAAGAATATCGTCTACGTATAGTACTAAGAATACCACTACGTTTCCGTTGCTCTTTTTGTATACACAACTCTCGTCTTGACATTGATTAAATCCATAGGACTTAATCACCTCATCAAAACGAATATTCCAAGACCTAGAAGCTTGTTTTAGTCCATAAAGAGACTTCTTTAGCTTCCATACTCGATGCTCTTGGCCTTTCTTCACATAACCCTCGGGTTGCTGCATATAGATGTCTTCATCCAAGTTTCCGTTAAGGAAAGCTGTCTTGACATCCATTTGCCAAACCTCATAGTCCATGTGACTTGCTATGGATAAGAGAATCCGGATCGACTTAAGCATGGCTACTGGTGAGAAGGTCTCATCATAATCGATTCCCTCTTTCTGAGTGAAACCCTTCGCAACCAACCGTGCTTTGAAGGAAATAACCTTCCCGTCTGATCCTCTCTTACGCCTATAGACCCATTTGCACCCAATGGCTTTCTTGCCTTCAGGAAGGTCCTTAAGGTCGTATACCTCCATAGCATCTATAGATTCAATCTCAGAATCCATAGATTTCTGCCAAGAATCTGCATCTACGTCTTGGATTGCCTCATTGTAGGTCCAGGGATCACTATCATGCTCTTCACTTGGGATCAAGTCCGAAGACTCTCCCACAAACATGAAACGATCGGGCTGACGAACAACCCTCCCACTACGACGAGGTAATTCAGGTGTAAATACATCAGAGTCAACACGTTGTGCAGTCTCTTGTGGTATATCTTCTTGCACACTCGGTATGCCATTGTCTTCCCTCAACTCTTTGAGAATAATCTCACTCTTGGACTTATGCTCACTCATATAGTCTTCTTCTAGAAATCGGGCATTGGTGCTCACCACCACCCTCTGATCTTTAGGACTATAAAAGTAACCACCTCTCGTTCCCTTTGGGTAACCTACAAACAGCCGTACTTCCGTTCTAGGTGCCAACTTATCAGCTTCCTTATCCAACACATGTGCTGGGCAACCCCAAATCCGAATGTGGTTTAAACTGGGCTTGCGCCCGGACCACAATTCTATTGGAGTTTTCGGAACCGATTTAGAAGGCACAAAGTTAAGAAGGTACGCCGCTGTTTCTAAGGCATATCCCCAAAACGAGGTAGGTAATGAAGCATAGCTCATCATCGATCTCACCATTTCTAACAGAGTCCTATTCCTTCTCTCTGCCACGCCATTCTGTTGGGGAGTACCAGGCGCAGTCAGCTGGGATGTAATCCCATTCTCTAATAAGTATTGCCTAAATTCATTGCTAAGGTATTCGCCACCACGATCAGATCGCAGTGACTTGATACTTTTCCCTTGACGGTTCTCCGCTTCTGCCTTGAATTCTCTGAACTTGTCAAAGCATTCAGACTTGCGGCGCATCAAGTAAATGTACCCATATCTTGAGTAATCGTCAATAAAAGTAACGAAATACTCAAAACCACCTCTAGCTTGAATAGACATAGGCCCACACAAATCAGAGTGAATCAATTCCAACACATCATTGGACCTATTCCCCTTGGCCTTAAAAGGCCTAGAAGTCATCTTGCCTTCCAAACAGGATTCGCAGACTGGAAATGGTTCAACTTGGAAAGAATCCAAGAAGCCATTACCTACCAGTCTTTGGATCCTCCTTAGATTGACATGACCCAACCTTAGGTGCCAAAGATACGTTTGATTCGACTGAGAAGGTTCTTTTCTCTTGTTTAGTGATGAAGATGCATGAGCCTCAGTCACAGTATGATATGCACAAGTAATAGTATAAAGATTGTTAACCAACATGCCAGAACAGATAAAAGAGTTATTTCTCATAATAACAGCATTGTCATTAAAAATAACTGAATATCCATCCAAAAACAGCTTCGAAACCGAAATTAAATTCTTCCGAAAACTCGGCACGTACAAAACGTTCTTTAATACTAAAACAGAATCAGAAAAAGATAAGTGCACATCTCCCACTGCAACCACCGCCACTCGTGCAGCGTTGCCCAAGCTGATGGTAATCTCGCCCTCACTGAGCTGCCTTCTTTGCAGAAACCCCTGCAAAGTGTAACAAACATGATCAGTGGCTCCTGTATCTACTACCCAAGAACTGGTAGAACAAGCCGCAAAACATGTTTCGACAACTAAAGCAAGAGACATACCAGG